TATTACTACTACTGCTACTACTACTACTACTACTACTACTACTACTACTACTACTAGTACTCCTACAACAGCAACAACAACAACAACAACAACAACTACTACTACTACTACTACTACTACTACTACTTATTTGTTAAACATCTTCTCTGTCATTGTCTCTCTCTATAACTCTTGTTACTAGCACTATTCTTAGTCTTATCGCCACCGACTGAGCCTCGCATCGAACCAACAGAATGTGACGGGATTTTTCATGCATGCTCAACACGAGCAGTCGTGCAGCTTGCGCAATCGCAGTACTAAGTACACATTCTCGACTTCTGATCCAAGCCACATCTACCACGAAGCGTGAAGATGACTCACCCGCATCAGCCTTCATCTGCTGTTCCGCATCCGTCTCCAGGCGCTTCTCTGAATCCTGCAACGGCGCCCGCACTTCTAAATTAGCGGCGCTTTTTTTTGCACTCGCGCTCGAACACGTCAGGCGAGGTTTCGAACAGTACAGCTACGGCTCATCACGAGGTTGGGAAAGCCTTTGAGCTTTACGGGTAGTCCGCCGTCGTTACACTCTGCCGTCTTATGGACGGTCCATGACGGTCCTCCTCTGACTCGATGAAGTAGACAGCGTGACCAACTCTAAAAAATCGCCAGAAACGGGCGAAGATGATGACACCAACCTCAAAAGTTTTCCTACGCAGAGACACAGGGCTGATTAAAGCAGCTCATATGGCAAGACCGCTCGCGGTGGCTTACTGGCTCAGAGCTGCGGGCCACATGAGCCGCTCCGCCCACGTCCTTGGCAATGCTCCCACGATTCCTGCGCGGGAGGCGAATCTCGCGATCGCTTGGTCTCGCTCTGTGTTCCTCACGGACACCGATATCAACAAACCTACCTTAAGTTTGTTGATATCGGTGTCCGTAAGGATGGTCTCCTCAAGAAACTATTGTTATTGGAGATGCTGACTTTCGAACATGGAAACCGGAAACTGCGTGCTAGAAAGTTTTGAACCCTGTCGTCAGCGTGCTCGGCTCCAGCATTTCCTGCACAATGTGCTGCTTAGCGCCAACACGCTGCGAATGGAAGGAACGAGCCAGCGAATGCTAAGGAGAGCGTGTGTCCTGCCTCAGCAGCTTCCAACCGAGGATCATCGGTGATGGTAAAGCTGAGGATTTCACTCCCGATGGAAAGGACAACCACCAACAGGTCCAAAGGATAGAACAGAACCTCCACAGGTCTCGACTGCAACCCTGTTTACATGAAGGAGGCAAAAAGCGACTTCTTTGACCAAGACCTTGGCAAAGTTGCGCCCAAAGGCTACCATCTTCAGCGTGTTCTCCACGAGGAAAATGCCCAGGATCACAATGGATGTGTAACCAAGAATGTGTTCTGCTTGCTCCAGATGCTCCGCCACAACGTGCTGTGGATGGTCCACGACACATCGCGAATCGACTGATGAAGTGTTGGAGAAAAAGAGCTGGAGACAGTGGGTCTTTGAGAGACTCTCCTCGGAAGAGTAGGCTCGCAAAACAAGCACCAGCCATGCACAAACCCCTGCTCTGAGATATCCGGCCAGCGTCCAAGGCAAACACTTCCATCTGCATCTGCAGAGTTGCCATGACGAGCAGCGCATCGAGCACAATGAGGCCACCTGAGTCAAGATGATCCTCTGCTAGCTTTGCAGCTTTGAAGGGGCAGCTGCATCCTAAATGAGAGGAAAGCCGCTGATGCAGTAGTGCACGTGCCTCGGTGTATGAGGAACTCGCAGGCCCAAATGAGCAAATGCCGATCCGTTTCAGCTGCTTTGCTCTAAACGCCAAGAAACTTCCAGTGCAAGAAGACCACGATTTTCCCCCGCCAGCCCAACTGCTTCCAGTCACGGTGGTGCTGGGGGAGAGGGTGTTGGCCCTCTGGCGAGGCCTTCGTCGAAGGCGAGTGAAAACACGAGCTCGCAAGCTTAACATTATATGCTGGCTCAAGGCTTTGAACTCGTGTCCTGCGAAGTGGGTCAAAACTATGCTGGGAGCTGAGCTGCCTGTCCGCTGGGCGCCCTCGCGGTAACCTCCAAAACTGGAAACCAGCACTATGTTCAACCTTCACGGTACAGCTTGAATCGACTTGCTTGGCTGGACCTCTCCGCTAGGTACAGTAGGCATGCAGAAGAGCGGTCGGCCTCTTCAGCCAATTTGAGTGAGATCAGCAGCTGCCTGAAAAAATCTTCAAGTCTCGCTCACAGCTCGTGACATGCCCTGCTTTGCACGTCCGGGTTGCTGCTGTCTTGCACTCGCATCCTGGAATCGGTGCTTCTCGGCGAGCTCAGGGTCGCGACCCATTCTCACCAGAATGCTTCTCCATGTCAGCACCCACCAAGGTGCAGCCTATCTAATCTTCTGCTACATGCCTCTTGTGCCAAATGCCAGCAGAAGAAGCAATTTGGAGGTAAGTAGTTCACGTGCCATGTCGACTCTACGACCCAAAGCACGAAGCTCCTAGGTTCCCGGCACAAGTGGGCTCATGATGACCTTACTCACTAATGGCGGCGACAGCAATGAATGAATAAGAACAACAGCCTGAAACTCGCCATGCTAAGCTTCTCCCCGCAACAGCGGCGGCTAGGCGCCGAACAAGCCCGTCTTTGGACAGCAAAGAACGATCACACAAGAAGTTCTTGGACTTCAAGAAGTCGAGCGTCGCACCCAGCCTCGCCAAAAAACAGGCCTTGCTGGGCTACGACACGCTGCTTCCCTGCTACAGCTGAAAACCAAAAAAAAAAAGGCAGACCTGAGGCCATCCGAGTGCTCCTTCTGAAATGGAAAACCTTTCGGAGCTGCTGCGCTGTGGCCATGCACGAGGCCCAACTTAATTGCAAACCAATCGCAGCGCGGCGGACGACACCAAAAGGACTCCAGGTCTCCGCAATGCGCTGCCTACCAGCAGTTTTCACACATCTGACCACATCTACCGAAGAGCAAAGAGAGCTCCTGCTGCTTCATGGTGTCGGACAGCCCAGGACCCCCAAAATCAGGAGGTCGCACCTGCGCGTTCAGCCTTCTTTGGTTAGGCTTTCTGTGAGCCATTCCCAACTTGCCGGTCTCTGCAGCATCTGGGCTACGTACTGCACATAGAGTGCCCTGGCCCCGGGCGGCCCGGATCATCTCTGCAAATAATACCTTTCACATGCTCTCTTCGATCAGTCCTCATTGCAAAAAACACGGACTCCACAAGCTGGCCTCACAGATCCACTTTGCATGAAGCAGGTTTGCCACCCGCAGGTTCACCTTGCTTGACATCGTGCTGGGATTCAAGAACAGCTCCTGCGATCAAACAGTACAAATATCACATAGAGACCATGAAAGCGGATGCACGTGGGTAGCTTGTTGCATCTGAGGAGCGGAGACACACTCGCCTTGCCTAAATTGCAAACAAATCAACATGCCACGTCGCAACCCACAACTCTTGCTGCAAAGCCTTGTCCTTGTGTAAACCTTGCTGCTGCGGCACACCGGAGTGACAGAGTGCCAATGGCCTGGGGGAATGTACCTTCGTACGATCTACAAGTGGTCTTGTGTCGTGGCAGCTGCATTCTCTATGTTCATGGCAAAGGACAACACTGATCCTGGCCGGAGATTGTAGCACGATCTGTCCAAGGGTCCTGTCAGCGTGAGAGCTTTCTCACTTTCTCTCACCGATTTACAAGCACGAATCACGACTGGCAAACCTGTGCCCGGGATGGGGATACTCTGATCCATGAAGTTCCTGAGCGTGATGCTGTAGTTGGTCTCTGTCAGTGCCACGTCGAAACCACAGTGCGGCCGATAATCATCGGCACGTCTCGCATGCCTCTAGCAGCACCGAAAGTGTGAGGATTGCCTGCGGTCATCCAACGAATCACAAGCTCTTGCGAGCATGCTGCAAGAACACCACTATGCAACGCCCTCGCAGGTGCCTTCGGCGCAGTACCAGTCTTTTTCTCCCAAAATCTGTATCGTCAGATTGTGGTTCCTTTGCCAGACAGTGCGCCGCAAAGCTAGCGAAACCACTAAACACAGCTGCGCTGGACCGGACAAGGTAGCCAAGCTGCGGGTCGAAATGCCACTGGGCCTTGGCTGACTGACATTCCAACTGCAGGAAACCTTACATAAATGTCCTATGTCACAATCATCACACACAATTATCATAGCGCATCCTGTGCTTCACAACAAACCTACTGGACAAGTCCATCACGCCTGCTTCTTCTTCGTCACTGCCGTCACCATCACCACAATCATCATCTTCTTCTTCACATGCATCACTGCCGCTTCCCAAATCATCGTTTCCTCATCGCAAACGGAACTACCGTCACCAACGGAACGATGTCTTCTTCACCATCGTCACCATCGTCGCGGCAACTCGTCTCGGATGATATTAGTGGTGCTGAAGACGGTGCTGATGGTATTGCGTTGATGATGGTCTCGTGATGGTGGGGGGTCCCTGGTGGTGGACGTGGTGGTGGTGCTGTTGTAGTGCTGGCGGCGGCTGCAGCCGCTACGATGGTGACCATGGTGATGATGATCATCATCATCATGACAGTTTGCGTTTTTTAGTTCTTCTTCTGCTTGTGAATGTCAACCCTGAAGTTAAGTTTGCTAGCAGCAGTCAAAGTCAAGACACCGGCTCGCATCCGAGCCGCGAGAAGTACATGCCAACTTCAATGTCGTTGCCGAACCTGTGTGGCCGTCACTGCGAGTAAAGCTAATTTTGTGGCCAGTGCACAACTCTCCGTCTGATGATGGCAAGTTGCCCAGAGCATGCATGGATGAAGGCACGCTTAATGTCAATGGCCCCTGGCCTGCCAAGGTTCCAGGCTCTGGCATTTAACATTTAAGCTAGACTCGTTTGTGCCAGGTGGCGTGAAGCAGAACGGCAAGATCACACTCCTGCACGCCGGGGTCTGTTGTAAGTTCAGCCGAATTCGAATTCAGCTGGCCTTCGCTGTTCCAGATCTGCCTGGAACCCCTCCAACTCTGCTTCAGTGAACTGGACATTGTCGTCCTGCAGGCAAGATGGATAGAGCCCCTTGTGGCCCAATCTTCTCGTAGACATCCGTCGCTTGGTCCTTCCTGCAGTCCGCAACCTTGGTGCACAGGCCCTGCCCAAAGGCTGCTTGAATTTGAATCAAGCTTGCACCAAGTGGAAGCCACAACTCAACCACGGACCTCACCTGCCTTGCCGCGCAGAGCGCTCACACGCCAGCGCGATTTCATGCAAACGAGCTGCACATTCGGACAGGTTTCCGTCGTGAAAGCCCACGCTAAGGATTGTCAGGAGATCCTGGGACGAGCACATGACGTTGAAAATTCTCACATAGTCGGCACACGCGTGCCTGGCCTCGCACAGAGAAGTCGAAAAAACTTTCCTTGGGAAAGCTGAACACGCGTCCATGGAGCTCAAAGCATTGTGAGACCCTTGCCAGCCAAGCCTCTGCCCCCAGAACTCCTCCAAGAATCGGGCCGTGGAAAGAGGCGGGATCAGATCAGAGAACTCCAGCCTCAGGTGCAGAAGTGCTCTCCAGGGGGTGAGAGCTGACAGAAGTGGCACTTGGACAAGACAGCAATCCGTCTGTTTTGCGCAGCTTGGCTGCTCAAAGCCTTCCTCACTGGCAGCCGCCGCGCTGGCAGGCGCCATGGCTTCGCCCGTTCTTGCGAAGTTGAAGTCTCACAAGCGGCACTCTGACATCCAGTAAGACACGTATGACATCATATGACACATCCCTCTTCCAGCAGAAGCCGGCTACACTATCGGCGAAGTCAGAGTCACAGGATGTGTACGAAGACAACCCGGAAGAGTGGCTAATACAGTAGGAGCTGCAGCAAGAGTCGGCATCAAAGCGCTTGTTGCAAGTCCTAAATGCTGGCATTGCTAAACCGTCCTTCGCTGGCTCTTCAACGCGACTGAAGAGTGCCTGCTGCTCAAATGCGCGCCCGTCGAACAAAGGTATCATGGACAGTCATGTGAATCGATGGCGTGTTGCATGCCTACAGACATGTTCAAGACACACAAGCCTGGAGCAAAGCCACAGACTCAGAAGAGCTTGGATCCTGAGTTTGACGACTCTGTGCGTGACGGCTTCCGCCGCTACCGGGTCACCGAGAACATGGTACTGTTTCCCAAACACCCCTTCAACACAGCGGACGACCTGACAGGACAGAATGGGACCGATCAGCTCAGCCCCCTGCTTCTAAAGCACTCAAAACACGCTGGACCTGGCAAGTTCACGCATACTGATCAAAGCAGTCGCCTTACTCGTCGGCGAAGGGAGTGCGCTGCCCACATGGCGCTTCGAAAATCATGGTGTTTGGGAAATTCCGAGGCCTGCGGATCAAAGGCACCTGAAGGTAGCAGGCCAGATCGGTTCAGCCTAAGTACACACTACGCCAGTGCTCAAGTGGCAGTGCAGCTTCTTCAAATCTTGGGCTCTTGCAGGTGGTCTGCGGTGAACCGAGCCTTCGAAGTTGATGGAACATCAAGTGCACTGCTGACTTTCTACTAAACCTGTGCTGCATGTATGCCGCTATCGTGCCGAACATACCGCCCACCGTCCGCCCACCCTGTGTGCTGCTTTGTCTCATCTCATGTCTGCCCGTTTGCCGGGCTGACGTCATTGGCAATCACACAGATTAACGTGACCAGCTGCTACTCTCCGTTGGTTGCAGGGTATCGTGGCTGCATTACCACACCAGCGAGACAGCACGGATCTATCTGGCCTCCGGGTCTTCCTGCAACAACGACGCCAAGATTTTTGCCGCCTCCGGTGGTGCCTGTCACAGCAGCGTCGGAATGTGGATCTTCGATGCTGCGGAGGTGCTAAAAACCATCTTCCAGCCTCGGGCAGTCGCTCCTGCACCTTCTGTAGGAACTCTTTGGGCATGTTCGCCAGGTCCTTGATGGCCTCTGAGGAGAGAGTGGGCAGCACCAGCTTGCTAAGCCTCAAGGCAGGGCTCCCCGGAAGGGCTCCGCAAGGAGTCTGCAAGGCTCAGGATTGCCATATGGGAGTTTCCGAACAGAAGGGGGGTCCCATATTTTGGGGTTCTTATAATAAGGATCCTACTACTTAGGGTACTATGTTAGGGCCCCCTATTTTCGGAAGATCCCATGTGCATGCACCATACACGATAAGGCTGGTGCACGTCTACTCGTTCCATGGCCTTGGCACAGTCGTATTCAGGCCATGCGCTCTGACCGAGACTGGGCCGAGGGGCTGTAGCAAAGGGAGGCCGCCACATTTCGAAGAATACAACGCCCATGGAGAACCTGGAAAGTCAACATAAGAAGTGGGCTGGGTAGCCTGCCGGGTGCACTCTTCACACTTCAGGATGCATCTTGAGAATCCCATCGCTGGATCATGCAAGTCACTGTCGAGTTCGCAGCGGACAGTCAGGTTGGAACTCTGTTGCTCTTTTTGCTGGCCGCGCATGCCGGCTCTTCGCAGCTGGGACGCGCTACATAAGACGCTACTGCTGCTTCATGGCTCCCGTATGGCTTAACTGGAGATGTCCTACTAAACAGATGGTGCCAGCCGAGGCCTGAGTGCGAAAAGGAAACAGATGAACAGTCCAGAAGTAGCGTGGTGCCTCGCAGGTACGGCTAGCTTTCCTTTCTTATCGATGGTGATACGTTGTAAGAGTCTAAGATAATCCGACTCACCGTCAGCTTCGTCCCTTCTTGGTCTTCTGGAGCTCTTGCCTTGGCTTCGCGTTTTCGGGGGGGGTCGTTGTATTTTTCGTGCTTCTGCAGATCAGCGGCGCCATCATCCTGCAGGCCTCACGCGTGAGACGGGGAAAGTTGCTTGTTCCGACTGGGACAGCATCGGGCCTTGGGACCTTCCTTGGCAGAATCGTTGAACTTGCGGCAATCCTGTGGTTGGACACAGCTTCGTAGTCAAGTTCCACTTCCAGACTTCGAGTACCACAAGGCATGTAAAGCATTGTGTTCACATATTTCATGTGCATCGTGCTGAGCGCAAGTGCAATGCCATCCATGCATATAAAGAGTTGATGCTGGTTGGGTTTCTTGATTGACTGGCTGGCTCGTTGGGTTTAGTTCGTTCGTTCGTTGCTCAGTTTGCCTGCTAACCACGTACTTACTTACTTACCGACTGACTGACTGACTTCCTTAGCTGGTTAGTTCATTATCTGTTTGCCCTTGTCTTGGTTTGCTCAGCAATTTTCCCCCCCTTTCAAGAATTAATCTCCCTGAACCGTTAGCCCTGAACCCTAAACCCTAAATCCTAAGTCCTACATCCTTTTGCATCCAGGCCTATTGCAACTGCAAACCCTAGAACCCTTTTTGCATCCAGGACTCTTGCAAGCAGCCGTAGAACCCTAAACCCTAAAACCCCAAACCCCAAAGCCCTAAAGCCCTAAACCCGAAGCCCTGGGTCTGTGTCTTCTCCTCCTCCGCCTCATCTCGCGACTGCCTTGAGGGGCCCCGGCAGGCGATGGTCCGCACATTCCCGGAATGGTTGATGGCCTCGGAGCAGGGAAGAAGAAATAGTAATAGTAGTACTAGTAGCAACAATAATAATAGTAAGAAAAATAATAGTAATAATAATAGCCATAAAAGTTAGAACATAGTGAGAGAATCTAAAGCAGTTCGAAACGATATCAGATAAGACAAAAAAACGTGCTGATTCTATGTAATCTACGATACGACGTCATATTTGCTATGAATCGGCACGAAACGCGGAATCGACATGACATACTGTACCAATACTTACGCTCAATTAATTAAGAGATAATCTTTGGTGAACATGACCAAAGATCTATAAACTAGTTCAGGGGCATTGACCTCTCTGGAAAACCACGGGCTAAAGAGACAGGGCGTGTACCAAACCCTTAAGAAACGCAGTCCTGCTTCCTAGTCGTCTGTTTCTGCATTTTCGGGCCTGGAAACTTCTCGTCTAGATCAATGTTCCAGGAATCTGCGCTTCTTCTGCGCAGCTCAAGAAGGTCGTGGTTTTCGGAGAGCGGACACAATCAAACACACAGACACACACGGAGAGAAGTGCATGCACACACGAGCGATGGATGCCAGTCATGTTCTCATAACGGAACTCTTGGATCAGCGCATCTGCGCCCTCGCGCGCAACCAAAATCTCTGCCTGATATGTCTTCTCACCTCAGCTTCATGAGGAGACAGCCCGCAGAAATCCTTGCTTGCTCTTGCGTACCCAACGTGCTCACCGGCAGCCAAGATGCCAGTGTTTAGGGGCGCACCATCCACTATCCGAGCTTTGCCAAGCTCTGGAGGATCCTCAGACAGGCATAAAATGTGCACGATTGGTGCCACCACCCATCAAGCCCAAAAACAATCCAAAAATCCAAAAACACATAATGACCCCAAGGATCTGCAGGAGCAGGCTTGGTATTGGCTCTCTTTGGAGGCGACCTGGAACTTGGAAAGGGATGTGGGGAGATCAGATTGGCTCCGAATCACTTCGGTGCGCCTCGGCGGCGACGCCCTTCTTTCTCGCCTCCTAGCACTCGCTCACAAGCAGCATTGCTGGGATTACTTGCGTGATTCAAGGCAGCGGACGAGTTCCTTGCAGGAAATCGAAAATCCTCGTGGGCTCTTCGGTATGAGTAGGGGTGGAACAGCCCTCGTGAACAACCGCGATCTCCAAATCACCTAGCACCAGCACCACAAACGACCGCAATGACAGCAACAGCAGCAGCAACAACAACAACCAGCCACAGCCAAAACCACCACAACCACAACCATGATAACGATGATGGTGACGATCATGGTGATGAAGATGGTGATGGTGATGACGGTGACGATGGTGATGATGATGATGGTGATGGTGATGATCATGGCGATGACGTCAAGAACGACAAGGACAACAGCTGCTGATTCTCCTTCACTCTGCTTCTGCTGCTTGAGGTGCTGCTGCTGCTGCTGCTGCTACTACTACTACTACTACTACTACTACCACTACTACTACCACTACCACTACCACTACCACTA